TGGGTGTAGAGAAAGTAAATAAGGAAGTGTTATTTACTCCTTCACATAACACAAGAACTAGGGGTCACCCAATGAAATTAATAGGCAGCAGGAGGAACAAACAAAACAAACAAACGGAAGTATTTCTTCACACAACCCACAGTCAACCCATGGAACTCTTTGCCAGGGGATGTTGTGAAGGCCAAGACTATGATAGGGTTCAAAAAAGAACTAGATGCATTCATGGAGGACAGGTCCATCTACAGTTATTAGCTAGGATGGACAGAGATGGTGTCCCTAGCTTCTGTTTGCCAGCACTGTTTTTTTTATTCCCTCTGGGGCACCTGGCACTGGCCACTGTGGGAAGACAGGATACTGGGCTAGATGGACCTTTGGTCTGACCCAGTATGGCCGTTCTTATGATATTTCCAGGCTTGGCTAGGGATATCTTGCTGTATTATCTCCGGATTGTTCTAAATGTATATATAAACATAAAATATGGCTTTAATTGGTGTTTGTATTTATATTTTTTTCCTTTCTTTATATAGGAATTAGGTGCAGTGCTCCCGTCAGCTAATTTCTAAGTTGTTATCTCCCCAAAACACTTGAGTTTTCAGGTGCCTGAGTAGCTCCTCGAATCAAAGTTAAAGTTGCCCCCGCCCAATCTAAAATGGCACTGCTGCCAGACACACAGCCAGAGACAGCCGAGATCTGGGCCCAGTCATGCCAGGCACTGCCCAGACACACAGCCAAAGACAGTTCCTTCCCCTAAGAGTTCAGAAACGGACAAAAGGTGGGAGGGGAAATGGAGGCACAGAGAGAGACCCCAAGCAGGCCAGAAACACACCCTGCGTCTCCTCACTCCAAGGCTAGTGGGCTAAAAAAAAATCCGCATGACTCACTTCCTCTCAGTCTTTTAGCTCTGCTTCCTTGTTCACCACTCAGCAGCAGGATCCGTGCCGCCTGGGACGGGGTGTTCCCGGGGGGCTGCCCAGGTCCTGGCATCTCAGATCAGCGGCAGCGTTACGGGACGAGAAATCTGGACCTGGCAGCTGAGCCACCTGTGTGGTCGCTGCGGGAGCTGCTGCTGCTTTCCCCGCAGCCCTAGGGACGCCTTTGCACAGTGGGGGCAGAGCCAGGGGCGTGCAAATTTCTGCACCCTCGTGCTGTTCTCCTCTGTCCCAAGCCTCCTGCCAGTCTAGCCTGGGGACCTCGAGAAGACGGTTGCTGATAGAAACACCATGTGTATCGTTATTAATGCTGTAGGTCTCCCGGCTAGGAAATGGGTCTGAGTCCCTCACTCGCTGTTCGGTCTGTGTTACACCTCCCTCTGCACCCTGAGCCAGCCAGTCCCCACCTGGGGCCAGATTGGGGCTGGCGCCTCGTAGAAGGAAAAGGCCCCATTTCCCATTCCCCACTTCCCGAGCCAGTCATTTCAAGCAATAGCATTACAAACCGGGCGAGAGCTGATGGTTTATACCTTTAAAAGGTAATTGCATAGCCTGCTCACCGTAGGTTAGCAAGACGCGAATACAGTGTGTCTGTTCACTAGCCTGTGTAATCCCCTCGTCAGACTTGGTTTATACTCCACTACACAGGCATCTTTCGGGACTGAGCGTTTGTGTTTCCGAACCTCGTCACTCACAGAAGACTGCATTAATTCAGGGCTGGTGGACGGGTCAGTGCTGGATCGCATGCACGGAAGTAAGTGTGTGGTGAGCAGAAAATCTTAGGCCTTGTCTACACTACAGACGTTTGCCATGCGCCGTACTGTCTGGTACCTCTCAAAGGCTTGAGATGCAGGTCTAGTCCACCTACAGCATTGTTTGCTAACCATGCTGACTGCTGCCCAGCATCCTCTGTGCTTCATCAGGTGTAACTTAGCCCCCAGCTGATTCTAAGTCAGCACATTTATCCTTAAGGTGAAAGCATGGCAGAGAAAACACATTCAACACAATAAAAGTGCCCGCGCTAATAATCTTCCCAGAGCTCACCCACAATCCCAGCAGGGCCCTGGTAGCTGATCAGTCCTGCAACCCCCCATCGGGGGTTTTCTGTGGTTACAAGTTCATCACAGCTGTTAGCGCAGAACAGGAACCCCCAGGAATAGGCCAAGTCTTCCCAACCCTTCCCAGGAAGCACTGGGGCTCTCGGGAGATTGTGCAACCAGAGCGAATTCACCTAATAATCCTCCACCCCAATGTTCTTAGATCCCAAAGGCACTGTGGTTCCCCTCTTCCATGGAATTACATACAATCCCTGCATGGGCCGGGGGTGGAGCCCCCATTTCAGGGAGACTAGCCCCAGCTCCGCCCCTTCTACCTGCCCCCCCCACAGCTGGAGACCCGAGACCCCCGTCCCCTCGGATGGAGGAGCCCTGATCCATCTGGGACCCCCTCCCGCCTCCCCACAGCCAGTGTAGTGCGAGAAATTGCTATCTCCAATACAATACACCCACACAGCGTATACAGCCTTTGATTCCCCCCATCCTGGAGTTGGTGTGAATTGGCTAGTTGCCAAGGGCAAGTGAGAATGTCTCATTACAGGGGGAGATTCCCAGCAAGACTTACAAGAACTTTGCTGTGCACAGTCTGGCAAAATACCTTGCTCGCCTCAGCAGGCTCCGTCCTTTTTAGCCTTGGAGGCTCAGGTTTGGGGCAAGGCAAATCCTTATAGGTGGCACAGGGTCCTGCTACTCCTCTCCTCAGTCAGTCCCTTGGGCCTGTTTTCCTTCCCTCCTGGGGAGCGAGTGCAGCCTCCCTACTGGGAAGGTCTGGTGTCTTGCTGCAAACAGCCTACTAGCCCCTTCCGTGCTCCCCTCACTTTCCCCCTCCTTCCACCAGGGGAGGGTTTTAAAAGGTCCCAAGCAGTTGGAGTCAGCCGAACCGAATCGCTTCCCTAGCAACCCCTTTCCCAGCTGAACCTTATTGCCCCCTGGTTCTCTCTCCTCAGTGGATAGGGAGGGGCCTTTTAATCCCCTGGGACTAATTATTACCCCCCTTTTGTAGCTGTTTGTCCTGGGTTTACCCCGATAGCAACATTACAGCTTTCAGGTTAGCTTTGAGAGCATCAGGGTAATTCAGGCACCTGGCTTGGCAAGGATGTAAACAATATGGTCCCAATAAGGCAATAAAATCAACAAACTTAAACAGCTTAATGTATACATCTTACACACACCAGCCGAGTCTCTCTCTCTCACTCACACACACACACACTAGTTCTATCCATCGTGCGCTTGGCTGGTGTCGATCTTCAGAATGCGTTCCCTTTTCTCCTTTCTTTCATGGGTTGAGCAGTGAAATAGTTCACAGTGTGGCCATTAAAAGCTTTATTTGCAGTTACACTAAAGCCTCTTGAAAGCCCCTTGACACTGGCAGAGCAACCGAAAGTGGGTGTATATTATAGACACCCCCTCTGAGGCCCTTCAGGATCATCCCAAGTGTTTGAGTTCGCGCCCACGGGAATGAACGGGGCAATTCACACCTCACAGCAAGCGTTTCAGGCTCTCTGCAACCTTAGGCTTGGTCTACACTTACAACTTAGCTATGTACAGCCGCGTCTGCACTACAAAATAAACTCAACCTCGCTTCGGTCGGCAAACAGCCGCTGCAGTAAGTACATTGCTGGGGCATGTCTCCACTTCGCTCCTTGTGCCGGCTGTGTGCGTCCTTGCTACGGGCGTGTCTGTCGACTGCACTGTCAGAGTGGGTGTAGCGGGGCAGTTACCCTGCTCCGGGGGAAAAAGCTCGGCTGATTGGGGGAAGCAGCCACAGCTGGCCCTGATATAAGGGCTGAGGGAGGAGCTGGGTCAGTCTCACTCCAGCCTTGGAGGGGGAAGGACCTGGCTGCCTGGGAGACAGGGTACCTTGGGCAGGGCAGAGCAGGGCTGGGGAAGGGCAGGAGGAGGAGCTGGGGTGCTCCAGCCTGGCAACTCCCCAGGCTGAGGCCTAGTTAAAGGCCTAAGGTGGTTGTGGGGCTGCAGAGGGGCAGCCCGGGGACAGGCAGAGGCAGCTGGTCCAACCCCCTTGCCCGTGATGAGCGGCCATGACAGTCTGCAGCCTGCCCCGGTGAGCAGGGGCTAGATGAGGACTGGCAGTAGCCACTGAGGCGAGGTGGGTTTAGAGGGTTGGGGGTTCCCCTGGGAGGGAAGACCCAGAGTGTGGGGACTGCCGTGGGGCAGAACCCCAGGGTAAGGGGCACCGGGATCTGGGAGGGACACTGAGCGGGAGAGACACCGGCCAGCAGGAGGCGGTGCGCCAGTGAGTCATCGATCTGCTACAGTGGGGCATGGTGGGATGGCTCCTGACAGCGGGTAACCGTGGATGTGAGCAACACAGTGTCTATCCTGTCACTGCATCTACCTAACTACAACGACCTTGACTCTGCACCGCTCGTGGAGGTGGAGTCATTACGTTGGGGTGGCAGGGATGTTATGTCGGCGGGCGTGAAATGTAAGTGTGGACGCTCCCGTGCTTAGGTGGACATAAGTTGCCTTGCGCCGACCTAATTCTGTAGCAGAGGCCCCGACCTTCTGGTTTCCCCAGGGGTGCTCGACCCCTGCTCTGCCCCAGGCCCTGCCCCCCACTCCACCCCTTCCCCCACGGCCCACCCCCACTCGGCCTCTTCCTGCTCCTTTCTGACCCCTCCCCCCAGCGTGCCCCACCCTCGCTCCACCTCTTCCTGCCCTCTGCTCCTCCTCCTTTCCCCCAGAGCATCTTGCCTGCTGCTGAACAGCTGACCTGCAGTGGGCGAGCTGGGGGCACCGCGAGGGAGAGGAAGGAGCTGATCGGCAGGGCCCGCCGGTGGGTGCTGAGCCCTGGAGCACCCACGGAGTCGCACCTGTGCTCTGTAGCGAGGTCTCTGTAGTCAGAAGCTACCGGTGCGGCACTCAGCTCGTGTTGGGCGATGATAACAGTCGGCTGCGTGCGCGTTCCCCCCGTGTGCTGCCCCGGCTCTGCGCAGATCGCTGACACAGCAGACCCCGAATGACCACAGGCTCTAGTAAGGTACGAAGGCACGTCGGCCAGGTTTATTGCTCAAACGAAGTGCAGGGATAGTTCCCCATAGACTCGACAGGGCATACTATGAATTTGTGCTCCCTGGCAATGGACACAGCTCAGTCAGCGGCGGGACTTTCCGCTGCCCCCTAGGCCGGACAGAGACACCCCCCCCAGGGATGTATCTTATACACAGGTACAAACAAGTTACACAACGTTCCTGGCGTATCGAGGTGCAACCCCTTTCCGTAACTATGCACCACCCTTCTACGCAGTGAGGTGCCGCCTCTCACCTTGTCCATGTTGGTTCGAACAAAACAACTCTCTCCATCATACTAGCCTTTTGCCCCTGTCCTTGTTGTCTATGTGGATGGTATCAGAATGTTCTTGTACCATTTGTGGACGGTCCTGGTATCCAATACACTTTAGATCTATGTTTGTGCAACAGCATATCTTTATGCACCATCAGCCTTTTCCTTGCCAGCTTCTGCGAGCAGGGTCTGCCTCTGGCTCACAGCATAACTTTGCTTTATGTTAGCACAGTCTTGACCATTACTTTAGCTCAGGCCTTAGCTCTCACACCTGGCCTCCGATACCAAGGGTTTATGTTTCAGGGCCGCATCTTACTACCGTCTCAATCAGGGATGTGAAAAAGCCACCCCACCCCCCACAGCCAGCATTGCAATGTGTAGATGCAGCTGTGCCAATGGAAGAGCGCTTAGCTAACGTCGTTCGAGGAGGCAGTGTTCCTACAAAAACTCCGGTCAGCATCTACGCCTGGTCTATACTTAAGAGTGAGGTCGACACAGCAACTAGAGACTTAATTTTGTTAAAAAAAAAAAAAAAAGAGAGAGACTAAGAGGACAAATGAGAAGTCCTGACAAAGCCCTGGCTGGGATGATTTAGTTGGGATTGGTCCTGCTTTGAGCAGGGGGTGGGACTAGATGACCTCCTGAGGTCCCTTCCAACCCTGATCTTCTAGGATTCTATGATTCTAAGTCTGCTCAAAAATTTTTATAAAACAATTTCTTTTGTAATATGCAGAATACAGGTTTTATCAGCAAGAGTTTGGAAGGACCTGGATAATTCACACATAGCTTTCCACTCATGCAAAGGAGCAGAGCTGAGACCTCTATGACACATGAATTAAGCTAAATGTAAGGCACCAGTTTAAGGTGTCCTCAGAGGCTTGCTCTAGTCTAACTAAATCAAATTAAAAAAGGGATTTTGGTTAAAGTGGTGCAACTTTTGCCTGTAGACCAGGCCTGAACTTGGTATCATGTTGTCACGCTGCCCGGAGAGACTCAAGGGCATGGGTACCAACCTCAGGGCAAACTGCCAGAAATAGGGCACAAACCCCCAAACTGGGTGTGAGGTCTATGTTTTGATTTCACAAAAACCAAATATCAAGTGTAAACTCCTCAGGCACCATAACAGCCCAATCATGGAGTCACAGACAGTCGCCTGGGGTACCCTGCTCGATTTTGCCACCCAGGCAAGCCTGCCTTTGTGATGGATGGTCACTTACACCAAAAATCACAGCAATATTTAGCATCTGAAGAAGTGGGTATTCACCCATGAAAGCTTATGCTCCAATACGTCTGTTAGTCTATAAGGTGCCACAGGACCCTTTGCCGCTTTCACAGATCCAGACTAACACGGCCACCCCTCGGATACTTAGCAATATTCAGGTTTCTCCCAGTTCCAAAGGACCCGTCACTTATACCATGCCAATTGCACTTTAGATCTCGCACCAAAGATGACGCTTGTGGCCACTCCTATCATAAACTCACTAAGAATTGAGTCATTAAGAAAAGGAAAGAAGAATTCCTTATTTACAAGATTAGCGCAGGTAAACATACATGCACACATGGGGTGGGAACCGTGGTAATAGGTCATCTCCATACGCTCCTTAGGGTAACCCAGGCTAACCTGGGATTCTTTTGCCTGTGTTATGTAGCTCTTTTGCACTTTTAGAGTTCAAGCCACATAAAGATGATGATTTTTCTTGTCTGGCAGTTTTAGTCCCTCCCTTCCCCCAGAGTTTAAGCTGACAGGATGAGCGCTTCTGCCCCTCCCCTCTTCATGGGTGTGCAGGGGAACAACCAACAAAGTCTTTGGCTTATGACAGTGGCTCTCAACCTTTCCAGACGACTCTTCCCCTTTCAGGAGTTTGATTTGTCTTGTGTGCCCCCAAGTTTCCCCTCACTTAAAAATGACCTGCTGACAAAATCAGACCGAAAAATACAAAAGTATCACAGTGCTGTCAAAGCGCACTATTACCGAAAAATTGCTGCCTTTCTCATTTTTATCGTACAATTATAAAATAAATCCATTGGGATACAAATATTGCACTTACATTTCAGTGGACAGTCTATAGAGCCGTGTAAACACGTCATGGTCTGTATGAACTTTTAGTTTGCACTGACTTCGCTCGTGCTTTTTATGTGGCCTGTTGTAAAACTAGAAAATGCCTAGATGAGTTGATGGACCCCCTGGAAGACCTGTGCGTATCCCCAGGGGTACATGTACCCCTGGTTGAGAATCACTGGTGTATGATGTCCCACAATGGCCTGTTTGGATCCAATAAGCCTTCCTGATGGGCAGGAGATAACCCTTCCCGGGGCAAACCAGTATTTCACACTTGGTGAGGTTTCTTTCCTGGCTGGGTTTACGGTTTCAGAGCAAACGTTTATACAAAGCCCTCAAGTAGTACCACTAGAGCAGGGGATACAGACATTACAAGTGAAATTAAGGCAGGCAGCAACTCACAAGCATTTCCTAAAGTCTGAACACATTTTTGTAAGCTTAACATCTATATTAACAACCCTCACACACAGACTGGTTTCCAGCTCTGAATTTGTCAGGGCTGAGGCCTAGAGTCTTGGCATGAGCTGGCACCTGGTCGGCCAGCGTCACACCTGCCTCCAGCTGAGATTGGATTGGTTGGGGTTTTTTCATGCATTACAGGCAAATTGATTTCTTGGTGATGTTGTTTTGACTTTTTCTCTTCTCCCTCCAAAGCCTTTGCCAGGACTCTTTGGGTATCTTCAGCAAGGTCGCTTATAAAGTTATCCAGCATAAACTTTGTTGTGCCAAAAGAAACCTGTGCAGAAAACAGTGACCCGACCACTGGCATACTCCAGGCAAAGTAAGTCAGATACATCACTCCCTCACCTGCAGACTTTTCCAGCAGCTTCAGTACAAGGTCAGTTGTTATTTCGGTAACCAGTGGAGAACTTATCACAGCCTTCAGATCTTCCTCCCGCTTCCCAACCTGTTCAGCGAGTGCAGTGAGGGAGTCAAAATTCAGGCCAAAATTCTTGCAGTAATCTCTCATGCAACCCACCAAGATAGACATGTCAGCAACAAGAGAGAGACCTGGAAGAGGAATAGCACCAGGACCGCCCGACAAGGTAGCTGGATTACATGTGGTCTTCTGCATAGCTGTTTTCTTCTCCTGCAGGGTCGAGCATGAGGTATCGAGCAGCTTTTGCAACATAGCATGGCAGAGTTCTTTATCCAGAGTTTCCTTCAGGAGGGGAAAATCATGCTTGTCAGATTCCCAGCTGGAGAGGAGAAAAACCTGAGGGTCATTCACCCCTGCTCTCTGCAGATGGGCTTTGCAGTCCTCTCTGATCTGTTGCAGGGTTCTCACCTCACTATAGTTTATTTTTCTCTTTTCAGCCCCCAAGTCTTGGTCCACTTTGGAGCGCACAAAATAAAACTTCTTCATGTTCTCCTGGATCTTCTCTGCAAGGTTGGCATGAATATCTCTGAAGCGTGTAGCAGTGACAATAAGGAAAAAATCATATCCTGACAAGTATTTATCAGTCATCTTGTGTTCAATTGACTGAAAATTTGGCGTTCCGATTCCTGGAAGGTCCCATAAGAAAACATTAGGGTATTCAGGATGTGAATACATGGTTGACCACACGGTCGTTTCCACCACCCCGACCTCAGCGGCTCCTATATCACCATCAGCTAAGCCCAGGAAGGCATTGACAAACGATGACTTTCCAGAGCCCGACTCCCCGATGACAGCAATTTCGAATAATCTGGGTGACTTGATCATCCGCTGTGCTATCGAAGCTGCTTTTTTAAGGTTTCCTTCTTGGACAGCAGCTTTGAATTCTTCTTCGCTCATAGTGGGAGATTTTTTCCCAACCACTACTGGGTCAATGGACTTTTACTGAGACTTCCTGTGAGCCGCTCAATCGACCTAAGCTGCCTGTCTTTGAAAAAGAGAACAAATATTTCAGTTATTAAAAATAAATGGAATTAATCTCCCCTATGACCCTGCCATTATATCTCCCATAAGTCCTCAAGACCTAGGGCCAGATCCTGGAGCTACGGCTGTTTTATCCCAGCTGGGAATCTGTCCCCAATCACCCCAGGGGAGCTACGGCCCCTTGACCCAAGCTGGCAAGCTGCCCCTTCACTACTGTGTTATTAGTACTCTTCTATTTTGGCCAAGCAAAGTGAGGTCCTACATGCAACTTGATGGCATTTCTCTGTTTGTTTGTCTGTCCGTTGGACAAGCAGAACGGACTGTAGAGCCTGGTGGTGAGAGCACCCACCTGGAAAACACAGTGTGGAGTTCGCCCGCTCACTGACCCTTCAATTATCTATCCACCACGGAACAGCGTCACCAGGAGAGACTCGGGGAGCCGGCGTCAGCCAGTCACCTTATGCCAGGGGCTACCGCAGCTGCCACTGGCTGCCCCATTTGAGCAGTTCCGGGTTCACCACGGCGCTGGGCCCACACTCAGAAGGGGCCCCGGTGTCCGGACTTGCTGCTTCAGCCTCCAGCGACCAGCCCGATCCCCCGGCCGGCTGAGCTGGCCAGGAAAACTGCCCCTGCTGCCAGTGAGTGCCGGGGGCCAGTTCCCCCCCTGCCCCCAAGTCCCAAGGCAGGAGCCAGGGGAGTAGAGTGGAGCGGGCTGGGGCCGGGTCACTCCACTTCCCGTCGCCCCGTGACTGCCTGCTCCTGCCCCCCACAGACCTTGGGTACAGTCCCCCCGCCGCGCGGAGGCCTGAGGACACCCCCTCCTTCCGCTGCATAGGGCACCACAATGTCGAGGGATGGCCCTGCTGGTCCTGGCTGGTTGTGCCGCTTCCGGGGGGCAGAGGGTCCCTGACTGGCCCCAGCAGTGTGGCTGGCTGAGCTCCCCTTCTGTGTGCTGGGAGCCATCCTGTTTTCCCTACGACGGTGAGTGCCTATGGGGGGGAAGGGCAGGGGCAGGCTGGGGCTAAGGGGAAAGAGGCAGGGGGGAAGGAAGTGGGTGGGGTGCGGAGGAGAAGGGGGCAAAGGAAGCGGGGGCCAGGGAAGCGGGGGCTGGGGGAAAGAGGCAGTGAGGACAAGGGGGGTGGGATGGGAAAGAGATGGGGCAGTGGGGAAGGGGCCTGGGATGGGGAAGGGAAGAAAAGGGGCCAGGGGAAGCAGGGGCTGGGGGAAAGAAGCAGTGAGGACAAGGGGGGTGGGATGGGGAGGAGATTGGGCAGTGGGGAAGGGGCATGAGATGGGGAAGAGAAGGAAGCAGGGGAAGCAGGGAAAGAGACAGTGGGGAAGGAAGGGGGTGGGGTGGGGAGGAGATGGGGCAGTGGGAAAGGGGCATGGGATGGGGAAGAGAAGGGGAGGGGGAAGTGGGAGCTGGGGCGGGGATGGAGCGGTGGGGAAGGGACATGGGATGGGGAAGAGAAGGGGGTGGGGGAAGTGGGGGATGGGGGAAAGAGGCAGTGGGGATGAAGGGGTGGGGAGGAGATGGGGCAGTGGGGAAGGGGCATGGGATGGGGAAGAGAAGGGGAGGGGGAAGTGGGAGCTGGGGCGGGGATGGAGCGGTGGGGAAGGGACATGGGATGGGGAAGAGAAGGGGGGGGAAGTGGGGGCAGGGGGAAGAGGCAGTGGGGAACGAAGAGGGTGAGGTGGGGAGGAGATGGAGCAGGGGGGAAGGGGCATGGGATGGGGAAGAGAAGGGGGGAGGCTGGAGCCCAGCCTGCAGCAGCCCCTTGGCAGAAGCTGGGGCTCCCCTGTTCAGCAGGCCCATTGAACCCTCACCCTGACAAGCCCCACCTCCCCTGCATCTGTACCACCCCGATGAACCCCCCTGACACCCTCCCCACAGAGCCCCAACCACCTGCAACTGGACCCCCACCCAAATGAACCCCACCTCCACTGCACTAGACCCCCCTGCTGAGCCCCAGACACCTTCACCTGGATCCCCTGCAGAGTCCCATTTGCCCCTGCACCTGGAACCCCCCAATGAGCTTCTGTGCATCCAGATCTCCCACTGAGCCGCCCGCACCCAGATTGCCCCACAGCGAACTCTCTTACCCCCACCTGGATCCCCCCACACTAAGTCCCTCTGCACTTGGATCCTGCTGCTGGGCTGAGCCTGCTCACCCACACCTTGTGCGCCTGGCACAGGGGGGCAGGGCCCCAGGGTGTTGCTGGGACAGGCCTGGCCCTTGCATTGTGTCAGGGTCGGGTGCAGCCTCACTGCTGAGTCCCTGTCCCGGGGTGGGGTGGGGGGAGGCTGCAGGGATCTCCCACCTCCATGCAACCAGTGGCCTGTGCTCCTCACTGCCATGTTGGAGCCTCCACATTTATTTATTGGACAAATAAAATTTGCAGAATTTTAAACTATTACGCGCAGAATTTTTATTTTTTTTGGTGCAGAATCCCCTCAGGAATATGGGGTGCTGTGCAGCTGTGATGGTGGGCTGTGAGGAAAGTGGGGGGTAGTGGGGAGATCTATGGGCAGGGGGCGCTGGGCATAAGGGTGGGGCACTGGGCAGGGGGGCGGTGTGGTGCGGGCCCACCCTCAAGGGGAAGGGTCATGCTGGCAGCACAGGGCTGGGCAGGCCGGTGTGCGTCTGGCAGCTGCAGATTTGTAAACAGTGCCCTCCTGCTGGGCTATGTGGACCAGGGCTGCTCCCGCTGCGCTGAGCCTCATTGCCCCCAGCCCGTCCTTCACTCTCGAGACTGACCATCCCGCCCCCCTGCACCTTGCCCCATGGGGGCCCACAAATCTGTATGGTGCTGAGCCCACAAAAAGTTAATCCGGCCCTGCATTTGAGTTCTGATAGCAAAGGGAGTGGGCTGAAGACTGTCCACTCTGGAACACACAGGCCCTCCCAGAAAATAGCCCGGGGTTAGTGAGCTGGTTAATTTTATTTCTGATTTTGTAACTTATGGCAGGGGCACGCAGCACCTTGAATAGGCCCCTTTATGCTTTTGCATACAAAGCTACATAAATTAACACAAACAGGTTTTAGTGACAGTCAACACCCCAGCAGAGGGAAGAGGCGTTGGTCCACTCCCCACCTGGGCCAGTTGCTGGGGGGACACTTGACCTGCATGACCCCCCCGACCTGTGGCCTTGGGTCTAAATAATACTTTGTCCTCTCATGAGTGCTAGGAACTGGACTAAAAACCCTCTTGAGCTCGCTTCCAGTCCTATGACTCTGTGAATCTAGAGCTGGGAAAATAATGGATTTCACAGTTTGCTGGCAATTTTGAAAAGTCAGGGGAATAAAAAGCATTTGGGGTTGAGCCGAAAACAGAACTTTTTAAACCTGTCAGCTCATTAACGAGTTAAATTTTTGTTTTGTTTTGGGACAAAGGAAACATTTCATTTCAGTTCTGCCATTTTTTTAGTCATTGTGGAATTAAAGAAATCAGAGGAAATTGTGACACAAAAAGCCACTCTAAAACTTTTCATTTACAAAATGTCATTAGGAAACATTTCTGTTTTTTCCTGCAATTAGGGTGCCCCTCCCCCCAAACGAATAACTTGCAAAATCAACTGAAATTCACAAAACATTTCAGTATCACCAAACCTGCATTTTTTGCACCGCCCCTCCGCCCCACACACACACAAATGTTTTGGGCAAAACTGTTTTGCCCAGCTCTGACGACAAGCCCCTGGAGTTGTCTTTGGCTGGGTGACCAGGGGGGAGTTGAGTGTGGAATGGTAAATACGGAAGTATCTAGAAGCTATTTTCAGCGAGACCTTCATAGCAACCATTTTCAATCACTTGTGCCTTGAACTTACAGACATGAAGAAGCTGCTAAAATGACACCAGGAATCAATTTCACCAACCCACCCTGGAGCAGAAAATCTCTTACCTTCCACCCCTGGGTGCTTCCATTCCTGGGACCTTCTCGGGAAGTTAAAGAAATATGGTAATCCTTTGTGTTTCAGCCATCTCTCTCTCTCTCTCTGTGTCTCTCTCTTCCTGTAGGTCTGTGATGCAGCAATATGGAAACTGAAAGTACCACGCAATCTATTGAAAAAACACGCAGCAGAGCTCAAGTCTAATTTCTGCGAGCTCCACCCAGCACGCAGCCACAGGGCGGCAGGAAGTGGAGTGACCTGGCCCCAGCCCGCTCCACTCTACTCCCCTGGCTCCTGCCTTGGGACTTGGGGGGCAGGGGGGAACTGGCCCCCAGCACTCACTGGCGGCAGGGGCAGTTTTCCTGTCCAGCTCAGCCGGCCGGGGGATCGGGCTGGTCGCTGGAGGCTGAAGCAGCAAGTCCGGACACCGGGGCCCCTTCTGAGTGTGGGCCCAGCGCCGTGGTGAACCCGGAACTGCTCAAATGGGGCAGCCAGTGGCAGCTGCGGTAGCCCCTGGCATAAGGTGACTGGCTGACGCCGGCTCCCCGAGTCTCTCCTGGTGACGCTGTTCCGTGGTGGATAGATAATTGAAGGGTCAGTGAGCGGGCGAACTCCACACTGTGTTTTCCAGGTGGGTGCTCTCACCACCAGGCTCTACAGTCATTCTCACGCGCCCTCTGTCTGGCCCAGTCTCTCTTTAACTATTGATCCAAAACTTCAACAGGAGAGCCTGAGGCCTGGTCTATGCTACAGAATTTGGTTGACATAAGTCACTTTGCGTCCACCTATCTGTGCACGTGTCTACACGCTAATTTGTCTCCGGACAACATAAGCGCCCCGTTACGCCGATGCAATAAAGCCACCCATGTCAGAATGTCAGTCTGTACAACCATGAGGTTTAGGTTGGACATCAGGAAAAACTTCCTAACTGTCAAGAACAAATTGCCTAGGGAGGTTGTGGAATCTCCGTCATTAGAGGTTTTTAAGAGCAGGTTAGACAAACATCTGTCAGGGATGGTCTAGTTATTACGTAACCCTGCCTTGAGTGCCTGGGACTGGACTAGACGACCTCTCGAGGTCCCTTCCCGTCCTGCAATTCCATGATTCTATGAATGGAAGGAGAGAGTGAAGAAGGAAGTGTTATTTACCCCTTCACATAACACAACCAGCAGGGGTCACCCAGTCAAATTAACAGGCAGCGGGTTTAAAACAAACACAAGGCAGTGCTTCTTCACCCAACACACAGGCACCCTGTGGAACTTGTTTGCCCGGGGATGTTGTGAAGGCCAAAAATATAACTAGGCTAAAAACAGAATTAGATACGTTCATGGAGGGTAGATTCATCAATGTCTATGAGCCAGGACGGGCAGGGATGGTGTCCCTAAGCTTTGACTGCCATGAGCTGGACAGAGCAAGAGGGGATGGGTCACTTGATGCTTCCCTGATTATTCTGTTCATTCTCTCTGGGGCACCTGGCATTGGCCAATCTTGGAAGACAGGATACTGGGCTAGATGAACCATTGCTCTGACCCAGTCAGGGCCGGATAAACTTTTTGTGGGCCCCGATGGGAGCAATGGAACATGGCGCAGGGAGGTCGGTCCTTGGAGCGAGGGGCCGGCCAGGGGCAAGGCACGGCGGGGGCGGTCACGCCCAATGTGGGGGCACTGTTTAGAAACCGGCAGTCGCCAGACGCACACTGCCCCGCCCAGCCCTGTGCTGCCAGCGTGCCCCTTCCCTGTAGAGGTGGGTCCATGCCGCACCACGCAGCCCCCCCTGCCCAGCCCCCAATGGACCCGCTATGCCCAGCACCCTCCCACACAAATGCACTGAATCCAGCCCCGCCCCCATCCTCAGCCCCACTGCAACTTCCCAGTACCCCACGCAGACCCCCCTGCCCAGGACCCCAACATGCATGGATCTCCCCCACTCCAACAGCCCAGTACCCTTCATTGGGGGTGGTTTTATTTCGTGGGCAGGAGAGCTCTCTCCTGCGTACCTTACAGAGCATGGCTGCAGCGGCACAGCTGTGGTGGTGTGAGGTTCATAGTGTAGACGGAAATCCTCTCTTTTGTTAGGCTCAGTGAATTCAGGTACAAGCGATAAAGACAAAAATGATGACAAGCAAATAAAAGTAAATAAATATGCTTTCTAGCGGCTAAGACTTAACAAGTTACAGTCTGGGTTCAAGGTAGATTTCTTCCCACTTTGTCTTCTTCCAGCCATACCTGACCTTCTGTCTCTCCACAAGCTTCCTGGGTGCCCCCACACATCCCCCTCTATTTGAAAGACTCCCTATCCCAAGCCAGGGGCTCTGTATGCTTCCCATCCCCCTCCCATTATTATATCTTTTCTTTCTGTCTGTGAGATCAGTCATTAAGATGTCGACATGTTCCGTTCTGTTGGGAGAATGCTGTTTGTGGTGTAGCTGTAGCCACGTGGGTCCCAGGATATTAGAGAGACAAGGTGGGGGAGGGAATAGCTTTTATTGGACCAACTTCTGTCCGAGAGAGAGACGAGCTCCGGAGCTACCCAGGGCTCTTCTCCAGGTCTGGGGAAGGAGAGACTGGAGAGCTGTGAAGGTGTTAATAGGGCCATCAACTGGTTCTTGGATTTTGTCTACACCACACACTTACTTTGGTCTAACAACAGTGCTCGGGGGGGTGAAAAAATCCCCTGAGAGACCTGGTTTATACCAATCTGACCCCCTGTGTAGACAGCAAGGAAATAGTCTGCCCTGACATAGCTGCTGCCTCTCGCAGAGGTGGAGCCATGAAGCCGATGGGAGATCTCTCCTGTCAGCTGAGAGCATCTTCACCAGAAGCCTTACGGTGGTGCAGCTGCATCGGTGCCAGCCTGTAGTGTAGACCTGCCCTTACAGAGTTGGTTAAAGCTGCTTGGCCAGCTAACCAGTTGCCAAGGGCTCAGTGGGTACATCTACACTGCAATAAACCATCTGCAGCCGGCCTGTGTCCCCCGAGGGGCCCAGAGCCCGGGATCCAGCCCAAGCCCGGAGGTCTACACTGTAATTTTATTGCCACACAGCCCAAGCCCCATGAGCCCGAGTCAGCCGACACAGGCCAACCACAGGTGTTTTACTGCAGTGTAGACGTACCCAGTGTGTCTATTTCCCCGTCCTGCTTGTCCAACGGACAGACAAACAAACAGAGAAATGCCATCAAGTTGCATGTAGGACCTCACTTTGCTTGGCCAAAATAGAAGAGTACTAATAACACAGTAATGAAGGGGCAGCTTGCCAGCTTGGGTCAAGGGGCCGTAGCTCCCCTGGGGTGATTGGGGACAGATTCCCAGCTGGGATAAAACAGCCGTAGCTCCAGGATCTGGCCCTAGGTCTTGAGGACTTATGGGAGATATAATGGCAGGGTCATAGGGGAGATTAATTCCATTTATTTTTAATAACTGAAATATTTGTTCTCTTTTTCAAAGACAGGCAGCTTAGGTCGATTGAGCGGCTCACAGGAAGTCTCAGTAAAAGTCCATTGACCCAGTAGTGGTTGGGAAAAAATCTCCCACTATGAGCGAAGAAGAATTCAAAGCTGCTGTCCAAGAAGGAAACCTTAAAAAAGCAGCTTCGATAGCACAGCGGATGATCAAGTCACCCAGATTATTCGAAATTGCTGTCATCGGGGAGTCGGGCTCTGGAAAGTCATCGTTTGTCAATGCCTTCCTGGGCTTAGCTGATGGTGATATAGGAGCCGCTGAGGTCGGGGTGGTGGAAACGACCGTGTGGTCAACCATGTATTCACATCCTGAATACCCTAATGTTTTCTTATGGGACCTTCCAGGAATCGGAACGCCAAATTTTCAGTCAATTGAACACAAGATGACTGATAAATACTTGTCAGGATATGATTTTTTCCTTATTGTCACTGCTACACGCTTCAGAGATATTCATGCCAACCTTGCAGAGAAGATCCAGGAGAACATGAAGAAGTTTTATTTTGTGCGCTCCAAAGTGGACCAAGACTTGGGGGCTGAAAAGAGAAAAATAAACTATAGTGAGGTGAGAACCCTGCAACAGATCAGAGAGGACTGCAAAGCCCATCTGCAGAGAGCAGGGGTGAATGACCCTCAGGTTTTTCTCCTCTCCAGCTGGGAATCTGACAAGCATGATTTTCCCCTCCTGAAGGAAACTCTGGATAAAGAACTCTGCCATGCTATGTTGCAAAAGCTGCTCGATACCTCATGCTCGACCCTGCAGGAAAAGAAAACAGCTATGCAGAAGACCACATGTAATCCAGCTACCTTGTCGGGCGGTCCTGGTGCTATTCCTCTTCCAGGTCTCTCTCTTGTTGCTGACATGTCTATCTTGGTGGGTTGCATGAGAGATTGCTGCAAGAATTTTGGCCTGAATTTTGGCTCCCTCACTGCACTCGCTGAACAGGTTGGGAAGCGGGAGGAAGATCTGAAGGCCGTGATAAGTTCTCCACTGGTTACCGAAATAACAACTGACCTTGTACTGAAGCTGCTGGAAAAGTCTGCAGGTGAGGGAGTGATGTATCTGACTTACTTTGCCTGGAGTATGCCAGTGGTCGGGTCACTGTTTTCTGCACAGGTTTCTTTTGGCACAACAAAGTTTATGCTGGATAACTTTATAAGCGACCTTGCTGAAGATACCCAAAGAGTCCTGGCAAAGGCTTTGGAGGGAGAAGAGAAAAAGTCAAAACAACATCACCAAGAAATCAATTTGCCTGTAATGCATGAAAAAACCCCAACCAATCCAATCTCAGCTGGAGGCAGGTGTGACGCTGGCCGACCAGGTGCCAGCTCATGCCAAGACTCTACGCCTCAGCCCTGACAAATTCAGAGCTGGAAACCAGTCTGTGTGTGAGGGTTGTTAATATAGATGTTAAGCTTACAAAAATGTGTTCAGACTTTAGGAAATGCTTGTGAGTTGCTGCCTGCCTTAATTTCACTTGTAATGTCTGTATCCCCTGCTCTAGTGGTACTACTTGAGGGCTTTGTATAAACGTTTGCTCTGAAACCGTAAACCCAGCCAGGAAAGAAACCTCACCAAGTGTGAAATACTGGTTTGCCCCGGGAAGGGTTATCTCCTGCCCATCAGGAAGGCTTATTGGATCCAAACAGGCCATTGTGGGACATCATACACCAGTGATTCTCAACCAGGGGTACATGTACCCCTGGGGATACGCACAGGTCTTCCAGGGGGTCCATCAACTCATCTAGGCATTTTCTAGTTTTACAACAGGCCACATAAAAAGCA